ACAACAGGAGTTGATATTATTATAAACATGATCTATTGTAGAATTACTGTTTTTTGTAACACGTGTGGGATCAGTAATGAGTTGATTTAAATATAGGCTTTGGATGTTTGAAACGAAATCACCAGTTTTAGAGGAAATGCTTTGATACATCGACATTGAAATCGCTCATACGGATACAATTATGTTTATTTATTTTAAGCTGGGATAAAACACTCATTAAACTCACTTCGAATTCGTCGTGATCAGTGTTTGGTTTCCTGTATAATAAACCAACAACATATTAAATTTAGATGGAATGTCGATGCTAATACATGTATATCAAAACACAGTGTCAAACATTAACGACACAAACCATGCATTCTCGCCTCTATCGCATTTTTAACGTTAATTTATAAAATATTTGTAATTTTTATTGTAATAACCGGGCTAATTTATATACATTCCGATGAATGCATACTTTCAATAAGACCATACGCCTCGTATATATACAAATTATAAGACTAAAACACAGATTAGTGCAGTGTTCGAAAAAATAAGCCTTGATCACAAAATGTTTGTTCGTGGTCATCTCGATTTACACGATTACACATTTTTTGCGATCTAATTAGCAACTTAAACTCAGAATGGTTTTTATTTTTAAAAAAAGAAAAATTGATAATAGGAAATCTACTTGGGGCAGTTGACACGCAGTGCGTGCGTGTGTGTGCGTGCGTAGGTGCGTGCATGCGTAACGGAGTCGCTCAGCGCCGACCTCGCAATCGTATTGCACACATTTCGAACTGCCCATGATTTTCGAAAACTTTTTTTAAAACTTTTTAATTGTGAAATCGAATTTGCAAAATACACGGCAGCGGCGTATGGCAAATAAAGATCAGTCAGGCTAAAACGACGCTAGGGTGGACTTCAGCATAATAAGTTAGTGCAGGTCGTTAGACCCCCTAGTCCAGTGAAGATTAATATTGGTGAACAATTCAGCGTTTAGTTAGTATAGTCCAGATAACTTAGCAGTGTTCCCTGGAGTGTTCCACGTTCACGCCCAATTCCTCGACTGTCACATCTTTCAATCTACGGTATAACATGCAGGAATCCGCAATAGTTTTTCTTTTTGTATATTAGCTCCCCTTTATCCAGAAAACTCCTCACTCTCAACCAGTTGCGACTCTTTTTATAATTTTTGGCCATGCCGACATCGATTGCGACCCCGCCATCGTGAACGTCGTTTGCGTATAGCGTGTTTGATGCTTTTTTCTTGAAACCTGTGTTAAATTTGTTCTTTGGGTACAACATATAACACAATCTTCCATCTTCTTTGGTCAGTTTACCGATGATGTAATCGTTGATAGGTATTTTAGGGGGACGATCTATCCCAATATCAACAAAAAACTTGTTGAATGTGTAACTTAACAAATCCTAGGATTACGTAAGATTGTGTTGCAAGCATCTGAATTGATTGTCATGTCTTTCGAGAGCGTCATGTTTATGACCAGGCCAATAATTTTATTCACTGTGTCCCATGTCTTTCTTGTATCATTTTGGTAATTTGGTAATATTTGTCAACTTTGCGAAGTATACTTGTAAGGATATTAATTTCTATAGTATGTTAGATGTTGTTTAGCATAGTTTGTTAGAATCACGTTTGAGTAAGTTTATGCTTAGTTTTGATTGATTTTTAATAGTTGGTGTAATCTAATGTTTGGTGTTTTTGTTACCGGTACAGTTTACATTTGTCTTGACCAATGACACATTGTATTGACGTTCAATAAAACATGTTGAAAGAGGTGTTTATATCGCTACGTGTGTAAATATCAATTCAACTGAGGTTTACATCGGTCAGGTTAAACTTTCTAAAATCTCGATACGTTATTTTAATTTTGTGTGGTGAAGATTTACAAAGAACATTTTTGAAAGTGGCATAAATTGAGAAGTGATCTGAGATATCAATGGTTATAACTCAGATATTTGTACAACAGGAGTTGATATTATTATAAACATGATCTATTGTAGAATTACTGTTTTTTGTAACACGTGTGGGATCAGTAATGAGTTGATTTAAATATAGGCTTTGGATGTTTGAAACGAAATCACCAGTTTTAGAGGAAATGCTTTGATACATCGACATTGAAATCGCTCATACGGATACAATTATGTTTATTTATTTTAAGCTGGGATAAAACACTCATTAAACTCACTTCGAATTCGTCGTGATCAGTGTTTGGTTTCCTGTATAATAAACCAACAACATATTAAATTTAGATGGAATGTCGATGCTAATACATGTATATCAAAACACAGTGTCAAACATTAACGACACAAACCATGCATTCTCGCCTCTATCGCATTTTTAACGTTAATTTATAAAATATTTGTAATTTTTATTGTAATAACCGGGCTAATTTATATACATTCCGATGAATGCATACTTTCAATAAGACCATACGCCTCGTATATATACAAATTATAAGACTAAAACACAGATTAGTGCAGTGTTCGAAAAAATAAGCCTTGATCACAAAATGTTTGTTCGTGGTCATCTCGATTTACACGATTACACATTTTTTGCGATCTAATTAGCAACTTAAACTCAGAATGGTTTTTATTTTTAAAAAAAGAAAAATTGATAATAGGAAATCTACTTTGGGGCAGTTGGCACGCAGTGCGTGCGTGTGTGTGCGTGCGTAGGTGCGTGCATGCGTAACGGAGTCGCTCAGCGCCGACCTCGCAATCGTATTTATATTGCACACATTTCGAACTGCCCATGATTTTCGAAAACTTTTTTTAAAACTTTTTAATTGTGAAATCGAATTTGCAAAATACACGGCAGCGGCGTATGGCAAATAAAGATCAGTCAGGCTAAAACGACACTAGGGTGGACTTCAGCATAATAAGTTAGTGCAGGTCGTTAGACCCCCTAGTCCAGTGAAGATTAATATTGGTGAACAATTCAGCGTTTAGTTAGTATAGTCCAGATAACTTAGCAGTGTTCCCTGGAGTGTTCCACGTTCACGCCCAATTCCTCGACTGTCACATCTTTCAATCTACGGTATAACATGCAGGAATCCGCAATAGTTTTTCTTTTTGTATATTAGCTCCCCTTTATCCAGAAAACTCCTCACTCTCAACCAGTTGCGACTCTTTTTATAATTTTTGGGCCATGCCGACATCGATTGCGACCCCGCCATCGTGAACGTCGTTTGCGTATAGCGTGTTTGATGCTTTTTTCTTGAAACCTGTGTTAAATTTGTTCTTTGGGTACAACATATAACACAATCTTCCATCTTCTTTGGTCAGTTTACCGATGATGTAATCGTTGATAGGTATTTTAGGGGGACGATCTATCCCAATATCAACAAAAAACTTGTTGAATGCGTAACTTAACAAATCCTAGGATTACGTAAGATTGTGTTGCAAGCATCTGAATTGATTGTCATGTCTTTCGAGAGCGTCATGTTTATGACCAGGCCAATAATTTTATTCACTGTGTCCCATGTCTTTCTTGTATCATTTTGGTAATTTGGTAATATTTGTCAACTTTGCGAAGTATACTTGTAAGGATATTAATTTCTATAGTATGTTAGATGTTGTTTAGCATAGTTTGTTAGAATCACGTTTGAGTAAGTTTATGCTTAGTTTTGATTGATTTTTAATAGTTGGTGTAATCTAATGTTTGGTGTTTTTGTTACCGGTACAGTTTACATTTGTCTTGACCAATGACACATTGTATTGACGTTCAATAAAACATGTTGAAAGAGGTGTTTATATCGCTACGTGTGTAAATATCAATTCAACTGAGGTTTACATCGGTCAGGTTAAACTTTCTAAAATCTCGATACGTTATTTTAATTTTGTGTGGTGAAGATTTACAAAGAACATTTTTGAAAGTGGCATAAATTGAGAAGTGATCTGAGATATCAATGGTTATAACTCAGATATTTGTACAACAGGAGTTGATATTATTATAAACATGATCTATTGTAGAATTACTGTTTTTTGTAACACGTGTGGGATCAGTAATGAGTTGATTTAAATATAGGCTTTGGATGTTTGAAACGAAATCACCAGTTTTAGAGGAAATGCTTTGATACATCGACATTGAAATCGCTCATACGGATACAATTATGTTTATTTATTTTAAGCTGGGATAAAACACTCATTAAACTCACTTCGAATTCGTCGTGATCAGTGTTTGGTTTCCTGTATAATAAACCAACAACATATTAAATTTAGATGGAATGTCGATGCTAATACATGTATATCAAAACACAGTGTCAAACATTAACGACACAAACCATGCATTCTCGCCTCTATCGCATTTTTAACGTTAATTTATAAAATATTTGTAATTTTTATTGTAATAACCGGGCTAATTTATATACATTCCGATGAATGCATACTTTCAATAAGACCATACGCCTCGTATATATACAAATTATAAGACTAAAACACAGATTAGTGCAGTGTTCGAAAAAATAAGCCTTGATCACAAAATGTTTGTTCGTGGTCATCTCGATTTACACGATTACACATTTTTTGCGATCTAATTAGCAACTTAAACTCAGAATGGTTTTTATTTTTAAAAAAAGAAAAATTGATAATAGGAAATCTACTTTGGGGCAGTTGGCACGCAGTGCGTGCGTGTGTGTGCGTGCGTAGGTGCGTGCATGCGTAACGGAGTCGCTCAGCGCCGACCTCGCAATCGTATTGCACACATTTCGAACTGCCCATGATTTTCGAAAACTTTTTTTAAAACTTTTTAATTGTGAAATCGAATTTGCAAAATACACGGCAGCGGCGTATGGCAAATAAAGATCAGTCAGGCTAAAACGACGCTAGGGTGGACTTCAGCATAATAAGTTAGTGCAGGTCGTTAGACCCCCTAGTCCAGTGAAGATTAATATTGGTGAACAATTCAGCGTTTAGTTAGTATAGTCCAGATAACTTAGCAGTGTTCCCTGGAGTGTTCCACGTTCACGCCCAATTCCTCGACTGTCACATCTTTCAATCTACGGTATAACATGCAGGAATCCGCAATAGTTTTTCTTTTTGTATATTAGCTCCCCTTTATCCAGAAAACTCCTCACTCTCAACCAGTTGCGACTCTTTTTATAATTTTTGGCCATGCCGACATCGATTGCGACCCCGCCATCGTGAACGTCGTTTGCGTATAGCGTGTTTGATGCTTTTTTCTTGAAACCTGTGTTAAATTTGTTCTTTGGGTACAACATATAACACAATCTTCCATCTTCTTTGGTCAGTTTACCGATGATGTAATCGTTGATAGGTATTTTAGGGGGACGATCTATCCCAATATCAACAAAAAACTTGTTGAATGCGTAACTTAACAAATCCTAGGATTACGTAAGATTGTGTTGCAAGCATCTGAATTGATTGTCATGTCTTTCGAGAGCGTCATGTTTATGACCAGGCCAATAATTTTATTCACTGTGTCCCATGTCTTTCTTGTATCATTTTGGTAATTTGGTAATATTTGTCAACTTTGCGAAGTATACTTGTAAGGATATTAATTTCTATAGTATGTTAGATGTTGTTTAGCATAGTTTGTTAGAATCACGTTTGAGTAAGTTTATGCTTAGTTTTGATTGATTTTTAATAGTTGGTGTAATCTAATGTTTGGTGTTTTTGTTACCGGTACAGTTTACATTTGTCTTGACCAATGACACATTGTATTGACGTTCAATAAAACATGTTGAAAGAGGTGTTTATATCGCTACGTGTGTAAATATCAATTCAACTGAGGTTTACATCGGTCAGGTTAAACTTTCTAAAATCTCGATACGTTATTTTAATTTTGTGTGGTGAAGATTTACAAAGAACATTTTTGAAAGTGGCATAAATTGAGAAGTGATCTGAGATATCAATGGTTATAACTCAGATATTTGTACAACAGGAGTTGATATTATTATAAACATGATCTATTGTAGAATTACTGTTTTTTGTAACACGTGTGGGATCAGTAATGAGTTGATTTAAATATAGGCTTTGGATGTTTGAAATGAAATCACCAGTTTTAGAGGAAATTCTTTGATACATCGACATTGAAATCGCTCATACGGATACAATTATGTTTATTTATTTTAAGCTGGGATAAAACACTCATTAAACTCACTTCGAATTCGTCGTGATCAGTGTTTGGTTTCCTGTATAATAAACCAACAACATATTAAATTTAGATGGAATGTCGATGCTAATACATGTATATCAAAACACAGTGTCAAACATTAACGACACAAACCATGCATTCTCGCCTCTATCGCATTTTTAACGTTAATTTATAAAATATTTGTAATTTTTATTGTAATAACCGGGCTAATTTATATACATTCCGATGAATGCATACTTTCAATAAGACCATACGCCTCGTATATATACAAATTATAAGACTAAAACACAGATTAGTGCAGTGTTCGAAAAAATAAGCCTTGATCACAAAATGTTTGTTCGTGGTCATCTCGATTTACACGATTACACATTTTTTGCGATCTAATTAGCAACTTAAACTCAGAATGGTTTTTATTTTTAAAAAAAGAAAAATTGATAATAGGAAATCTACTTTGGGGCAGTTGACACGCAGTGCGTGCGTGTGTGTGCGTGCGTAGGTGCGTGCATGCGTAACGGAGTCGCTCAGCGCCGACCTCGCAATCGTATTGCACACATTTCGAACTGCCCATGATTTTCGAAAACTTTTTTTAAAACTTTTTAATTGTGAAATCGAATTTGCAAAATACACGGCAGCGGCGTATGGCAAATAAAGATCAGTCAGGCTAAAACGACGCTAGGGTGGACTTCAGCATAATAAGTTAGTGCAGGTCGTTAGACCCCCTAGTCCAGTGAAGATTAATATTGGTGAACAATTCAGCGTTTAGTTAGTATAGTCCAGATAACTTAGCAGTGTTCCCTGGAGTGTTCCACGTTCACGCCCAATTCCTCGACTGTCACATCTTTCAATCTACGGTATAACATGCAGGAATCCGCAATAGTTTTTCTTTTTGTATATTAGCTCCCCTTTATCCAGAAAACTCCTCACTCTCAACCAGTTGCGACTCTTTTTATAATTTTTGGCCATGCCGACATCGATTGCGACCCCGCCATCGTGAACGTCGTTTACATATAACGTGTTTGATGCTTTTTTCTTGAAACCTGTGTTAAATTTGTTCTTTGGGTACAACATATAACACAATCTTCCATCTTCTTTGGTCAGTTTACCGATGATGTAATCGTTGATAGGTATTTTAGGGGGACGATCTATCCCATCTCTACCACCTGGATTAAAGACTCGACATGTTGGTATAGTTGCCACCTCACCCGTTGCGCTGTAACATAAACAATTGTATATTATCATGATGACGACACAGATAGATTGCAATTAATAGTCGCATGTTGGCGCCCTTGTACTAGAAATCGAGTAAAGTGTGTCGATCAATGTTGTACTGTGAATCCATTGATGGATTTTCAAAGTACTTTTTTAAAAACTTTGTTAGTGTGTTTGAATAATAATCATGTTTAATAGCTCATCATAATAGATAATACAGTGAAAGGGCGGAAAGCTTTCATTCAATTCGTGATTGACTCAAGTGTTGAATATTTTGACATAGCGACTGCGATGGCTCACATATTCAAAATGAGGAGCATTCTGTTGAAGAATGTTGAACTATCTCATTAATATCATTCAGAACCGTAACGGTGACGTCACAATATCATTTCTGGATTGGTCAATTTAAATTCCAACATCCATTTGCAGAGGCGGCGGAACGAAATGTTGCATGAAGGGTGAGACCTGATCACCAACTTACTAGGGGGTTCCGGGGACATGCTCACCCTTAAAAAATTGAAATCTAGACCCTCTGAAGCGCTATTTCCTGCATTTTGATGGCATTTTGAGGATTTTAAAGAGGCGACGCCCTTCCAACATTTTTTTCGAGCGGGCGACCGCCCCTCTACCACCCCCCTCTGCCGCCGCCACTAATTTATAACGACCACAGCTTTATGCCCTTCACTGTATTTGAATATGATTTCTGGTATAATAAGATAGTTGGTTTGGCAGCAAACTTGAAAATCCATTTTATTATTTCATATAAAAATCCTTTTGTTTTTGTTGCTAAAATACCTGTTTTATAATACATTAATTTGCATATTATCGGATGTTCGAAGCAGAAACGCCCGAGCGTTTCCGCCAATTCATCTAGCGACTAGTGTTTCTATTTTACGATAAAGCATACCAAACTGGTTTAACAAGATGTATATTAAGATATATAATATAAAGATATTAATTTAAAAATTATTTAAACATCTCCAAAAACCCACATTGCAGAATTTAAATGAAGTCATAAATAACATAGAAATAATTGTTTGTGAACGAGGACGGTGATTAACGGAAGCCTACCTGACGCATACTAAACAATGATCTGTTATGTGATAGAAACATACAACACTTGAAGGGTTGCTTGCCAGCCCACCTGCAGGACACTTATTTGTCGGAAATCCAGGAGGATTGAACTTGATAACTGTGAAGACATATATATAAATATATTAAAACATTTTTAAAACAGCGCCTCTACAGCGGGAGCCGGAGATCACTGGTGAAACCACCTGTTGGTAGGAAAAGTCGTTATTTCGCTTCTTTTCAAAGGAAGTCCACTTTCTTTTTTGAAATATCATATGGCATATTTGTACAAGATTATTCTTAATTCACGATGTTTCGCATCTATAATGATAATTGCAGTACCCATGTTAACCGAACGATCCTGTTGAAAAAAGGCCGCCAAACGATTTACATGCGCCCTGCTTATTTCTAAAATTGCTTCGGTTGTAGTTTAGACAACACATATTCTTCTCATTCAGGGATGTACCATTTATATTACAGCGGGGCAGTACAAATAAAGTGGGGGCCATAAAATAACACACACGATCTCCACACAAGCATACACATGATAAAAATGAAAACATTTGAAATGTCTGCCATAGCGACGCGAGCCGTGATATTGCCCCGCCAAGACCACTTCACAGCTGTTAGGACCTCTCACAATATCAACTTTTTTCCCTATTTACAGAAAACATAAACTGTAATTGTAGAAAATTACACAAATTTGGCAGTTTTGTGAAAACGTGAAGTATTTTTCCTACAATAATTTAAACAGCGAATGTGTTGTAAATTGCGTTAACCATGCAGACGACCAGACAATGCGGCCGCCATCTTGTTTCGTCCCGTGGTGACCGATAGTGATAATAGAATGTAAATTGTTTTTAAAAGGACTGATATTGCTTCAATTGACGCTTCGGCAATAAGTACACAAATTAATGATAAACGTTACACTGTCATACTTCAATGTAATAACCACAGGGACTCATCGCGTGAATACATGTTCAAATAATCAATCACAGCAATATTTTGGGAGTAGAATATTCCTCTGTCGTGTTGGAGGTTGACCTTAAACACACTTTGATCAGTTCACCATCGTCGTCACACATACGTCAATAATGGATATGCGACCATTGCGCAATGTAAGGCATTGGACTGTGCGAAACGCCGTGGTGAGATAAATTTACATACAATAACGGATAAAAAAAAAACAGTTTCACCTGTCGGAAGCTATTATAACCACAGCTACCGTACTAAATAGGATTTGTCAAGCGTTCCGTGACTAGAGAGCGGCAACGCAATCAGACGTAAATACCAACATATTCAAATACACACCAGTACAGATCAATTAAAAAATCGTAAACTAAAATGGAATTTAATTACAACAATAACTGTCCCGAGTTACTGTTGTCAAAACGTTCTGTGTACGTGTCGTGTCCTACATTGCATTGTTACATAAAAAGGGTCACTGTATAAAACGAGCCCCCCACAAAAGAAACCAGGTCCTCTCCTTTGTTGACGCCAAACAATACGTATTGTGATGGCGGTTTATTTACCCTAACACTCTTGAAGACGCGCGTAGAAATATGTTCGAAATATTCAAGCCTTTACGTACCCTTGAAACGTAAATTGTGTCGAATGCATAACATTTGCAGTCATGCAAATAAAACACAGTCGGTCACCACATCGAATCACGCACAGCCATGAACTAAACATAGCTGTAAATTTAAACCCACTCGATTCAGAAACGTTTGCCTGGCAACTTAGAAATATCACTACGACTAATCTCTTAACATCCCCAAGCTATTCTCTTATATACTTTCTCTCTACAATAATATAAATCCAATTTAGTCTACTTATCGGGTTAAATTAAGCTTTGAAAAAAACGGTTTCGTAAAATTTCTGTATGACCCACCTTCCTTATAGAGCGTCATGATTTCTATCGACGTCTGTGTTTACCCAAGGATTAACTGCCAGGGGAACCGACGACCCAATGTGTTTGCACAAGCTAAAAATACGAGAAGAATTATTTCACAGTGGTAACTTATGACCATCTATACCGGGGTGCATTTCGACCTCGAGTATGGGTGATGTCTATTTTCTATTGTGGGAAACTTGTGTGTTGGATAAGAATACAGTTTATTTGGTGAATTGAACAGTACTGGCACACTTAAGTCCTCACGAATAAACATAATGCATCAGAGGTGGGATAAAAAGAGCATCCCTAACTAATAAATTGTTCTCCTAGTTATACATTCGAAATGGGTTTCTGACAAATCTTGCATTCTGGTATACCCGCTCAAAGTCTCCTCAGTCTGCTATGACGGACTGTGCTTTTCACGGGTACAATAATGTAGACGTCAAACAAAGCGTAATACGTTTCACAAAGCACATTGTTCATAATAGTGCTGTAAATCAAAAATACATAATGATCTACCAAGCATTGTCAGCGCGCCTTGCAGTCCTTGTAAAGTTGCTTTGTCGGCAACATTTTGTTGAAAGACCTTTCCGTAAATTTTAAAGCGGGAGGGTCGTCACCTGCACATGCGCGGGAATTGAGTCCCAAGCGACGATAATAACACACGCTAAAAACGCAAAGGCTCATGATTAGACGTTTGTTTGTAAATAATGACACGCTATGGCCATCTGACGCATGCGCAGATGACGACTCCCCCGCTTTAAGAACTCAAAAACGCTGTCAATCCAAATCTGCGGAAATGCATGGTTAATTTTCGGTTCTTGATAAAAGATTTCTGTCCGAGGTATTTTGCGAATAACATAGCTGTTGCAGTAAAATGACAAGCTTCAAACGGTGAAATATGAATCAGCAGACTGTTGGCGGGGAGTGGAAAAGAGGCAAGGAAGACATTAGAAAGAGAAGAGAGGGACAGGCAACTGGCGACAAACTTCAAGGAAACGGAGCCATCCCAACCCAGAGAAATCACTGGAAAAACATCTAAATACACACAGAATAAACCCACGGGTACACAGCCGCTATGTAGTAAACAAAAGATCACATGCTAGTCTCACCTTTGATCAAGGTAATGCATGCCCTAAAACGCGCTCACCTAAAAAAATTAAAGCAATTTCATTGTTTATTGCAAGGCATTTACTAGTAAACGAACGGTGACTGTTTTTTTTTTTTTTTTTTTTTTTTTTATTTGTTAATATTACATAAAGTTACAATCATAATCATCTATTTAAATAATACATATAGTATCTGTTAATATTATATATTATAACTACAAAAAATATTCGCTTAAGTAATGTGGCTACATTGTAATCAACAGAGACTTTTTTTATTATTAATTGAGAGAGGATTCCAGTTCAACTAGTCTTCCCCATTTTAATTTAGCTTTATGCTTATTAATTTCGTGTTCAATGTTAATTCTAAACATGAGCTCTGATTTAAATAATGAAAAACAATTAAAAAATTGGAATGTGCTTATAGACTGTAACGGTGACTGATTGATTAGTGACATAATTACGTATAACTAGCAGCGCCCCCAGTGTTGACATACATAAATGCATAAAGCGTGATAGTAAACGTATTCATTCCTCAGCTCCGAGAAGGAGGTTTCTTGTAATTGCTGTGTTTATGATCTCAATATAGTGAATGTCAATGCACTTATGTAGGGAAATGCTACTCGGAGTTTGTGTTTGAAATTTAAAGTTCATTCTAGAAACAAATAGTCATTAACAATAATAGTGGTGATGGAGTGGGGGTGTCTTGTGACCTCATTAATATGCATAACTGTAATATCTCAAGAGCTGTGGCAGATAGGAACATGCAACCAGGGACAAGTGATATGATTGAAACAACCTAAGATACAACTTCAAGTCGTTTTACCCCCAATCACGATCTTTACTTGAAAATTTGAAATTCCATTTAGTCGATCATTTCTAAAAGAATTCATGAAGTATGGATGTTTTTTCTACTGCTCCTAAATTCACATATATATTTCATTGAACCATTACAGGATTTTTAACAAATATTTTCAACTTTTATACTCAATATTTTCATTGTGAAACCAGACTTTACACTGTTGTAATATGAAATGTATTTTAGTATATTGTCAATAATACAAAATAATTTAACGTGAATTTAATGTGATAACTTTTGTAAATAATTGATATGAATTAATGATGTCCTTTTGATTAATAAATGTTCATGTTAAAAACCAAATATACTGCTCTCGGTTGACAGATTGGTCACCGTCAATTCGCATGTTTACGATCGGGGCCAACAACGCTATCAATTTCCATGTTTGTTTTGT